TTCCTGAAAGAAAGAAAAATATATGATAATTAATTATAGGAAAATTCCTGATAACAATAATTTTCAGCCAGGCAACCAGCATTACTCGTATGATGGTTATCAGTTGACTAATCCTTCAGTTCAGCTGGCGATTTATAGAAATATTTATTAGCGCTACCTACTCGCCAGAAGTTGAACTTTTCGTCGCACTTTGAATTGATTTAACGATACCTACAAGCATCCTCACGAACTGATTTCTTCGAAATTATATATACACAGGGAAAACAGAAAGTAGCATCTCCGAATGCTACAATACCTAGTCAAATCCTCGACCGGTACGGAAATAGCCGACAATTTCATTCAATGTTTTTCTCATCATGGTATCCCCAAACGAATTATCGGTGATAACGGTACTGAATTCAATAACTTTCTCATTCCGAAACTCTTGGCTTTAAACAAAGTCGAAAATCATTTCATATCACCACACCATCCGTAATCCAATGGAATGATAGAATGGTTCCATTCTATGATTCTAGAACACATTCGTCTACTCAACACTAGAGGATTTTTGAAAACCCCTCCAAAACTGAAAATGTTGTATGCAATTCTGGCATACAACCACTCTATATATACGGTCATAAAATTCAAGCCAATTGACATCATAAGTGGTCACATTTCAACCAATGATCCTTTCGATATTGAAATTGATCGAAAATTACTAAATGATTACACCAATGATCACAGGGAACGATCAAAACTCCTCTATTCCAGAATAAACTCGGATCTTATAAAGCGAAAGGAAAAGATAGTAGAACGAGAATATAAAAAACGCGATGATCCCATTGTATTCAAAACCAAACAAAAAGTTTACGTGAAAAAACATATTAGACCAAAGGATGCAAATAAATTTCAAAAACCAACAAAAAATTCACATGGACAATTTAAAATGTCCCCTTTGAAAATACCCATCTCCCATTAAAAATTGATTAACTTTTCAACTATCTGGAACTCCCGGACTCCAGAAAAATATATCTAAACAAAACCTAAAGAACAATCCAGGACTTATTCCTCTCAAACTTGGAACAGCCAAAATCAAAACGCACGCATATTCACTTATTCATTATTATGATTCAAATCCAATATTCATGGAGGTGAATAAACTGAAATTCCACTCAAAAAATGTAAGGAGACTTGTAGGCGGTCACAAAGACTACTCATGGGACACATCTAACTATTTAAAAATATTACAATTTTCGGAAAAAGGGGTAACTGATAAACTCGAAAATATTTTACAACATCCACTCAGAACAAAACGCGGTCTTAAAAATGACGTTGGATCCATTTTCAAGTCAATCACAGGAAATTTAGATTCCAGCGGTGGTGAAGAATATGACCGTCTGATCAACGAATTACAAGATAACCAAAATAATCTAGTAACGAATATCAAGAAGCATAACTCACTCTCAATCTCATTAATGGATCAGTTCAGTAGTATAGTTCAGCAAGTGAAACATAACGAAAGGCTTTTGGAATCAAAAATAAATCATCTAGCAAAAANTGGCGAAAGGAGTTAATTGTATCCGTTGAAAGTGATACCAGTGACAAGAGCAGCGATTTTATTCGAAAGTAAATGTTTTTGAATATATTTTATATCTAAGTTTTCATTTCAAGATTTTTTATATGTTTTGAGTGTGACTTTTTCTCAGATGAATTTATTCACGTGTAATTTAATTCAAAGTTGGTGAGAATTGTCATTGAATTTCCAATTTGAATTTTTTTCAGAATAATTTACTTGAATGTTTTTTAAGAACACCTTTTGAGGGTTATTGTTTTTTTCATTATATTTGTAATACGAAACGGTTTAGAGGTAGGTATGTATTCCTCGAGCCATCCCTGGACTACTCTGTTTATCCTGCATACATCAGAAGATAAAAACCGACAATTGATGATATTTCTTTTATTTCGAACGCAATCTTCAACAATGGATAAAAGATAAGAACCGGTAATTGCAGCATCAATTTTTTCTCGAATATTAACTCTCTTACAGTGAACAATTGTATCGTATAAATTGTTTTGATGTATCTTAGATGACAACCTCGTAACTGGGAAAAATGATTATGAATTTTACTCGAGAATTATTAAAACTGAATGAGACTTTTTCTCGTATTTTATCTATTTGTCTTTGACGGTGCCATAGCTTTTCTATATAATCATTTGTAATGTTATAACCAGAAGCTCATTTCGTGCACAGCTTTCTAATTGAATAAAACATATAGTAAGGTACGAACAACTTACATTTGGTTGGTGTGTGTGTGTGTGTGTGAATGCACGGTACAGGGTTTCATCATGTGCTTGTCTATGTACAAATATACGTCTGCATACTTCAAAGATCCTCCAAGTAATGCTCCCCAGCAGCAACCGTTCAACGGTAGGAGAGTGAGATGTGCACTCCACGACGTGTGGCTGAGTAATGCGTATTCGTCGATGTGCCCTTACCTCCCTCGATGGGGCGATTCTATGACGTAACGCATGGCTCTACCCTCGCTGTCGATGGTGATGCATAGGCGGCAAGGACTGTGGTATTTAAGAAGCGGACGAGTGTTGGTTATGTCAGTTTACATCAAGTGAGTTAGTGAGAACATATCATAGAAAATGTATTCTTGTGACTGTCGTAAATCTTTTACTCGTAGTTATAACCTTCGTCGTCATCAGCTCCAGAGTTGCCAAGGAGGTCCATCAGTGAAACGAGAGAGATTAGATGACGCTGCAACACTTATGTACACATGTAATTGTTGTAATGTGATGATTCCATTGACTCAAGTGAATTCTCACAATAGAAGTCTGCAACATAAGAATAATGCATGTGTACAATTGAGTGATGGTGTTCAAATTATAAAGAGTGCCTTCAAGCGTCGGATTGCTACATACAGGGTGCATAGTTTATTGTTTCCACCGATTACATATTATTCTTTCATGAAATCAGGCAGAAAGTCATTGAATTATTGGAATCAGCCATCAGGGTTCACAAAATCATCAAAGTGAATATGGACGTATTTGGGAGTTATATTCTGCAAACGCAAGACCTAAAGGAAACCAAATCATGTAACTCTCAGAATAAAACAGCTGACCAATCCACTGATTTGAATTCCTTATTTGATGGATTTCGAAATGGAATTATCGCTCAAACTACAGAATCCCAGGAACGTGATTCAGGTAAGCATTTCTACCAAGTTTTAATTGGATGTATCAGTAATTTTGATTTGTTATTAAGGTTGGACTTGTGAAGAAATCAGTAGAAGCGGCCCCGATTGAGCCAGACAGACAGCCGGAGCGAGACAGACAGCCAGGCATCCAACTGGTACTCCACATCACCGCTCAGGCCTAAAATTGAATGTGATGCCTTGTTTCATAATTATGGGAGAGTTTGACTAGATTTTTTTCATTTTTATATTGCCTGATATTGCTTTTTTTGAAATATAGCTGACGTCTAGTACACCCGATTCTTCACATAAACGTCCACTTGGAAATCTTGAACTTTTGGATAACATCAGTTTGAGGAAACGCTTTTGAATAGCCCTGAGTGGGCGTAGGTAAATTTCAGATATTCCTCCCCATCCTAGAAGACAGTAGCTCAGGTGACTTTCCACTAAACTGTAACATTTTTTTTCTGTTTCAGATCACGAATGTCATTTAATTGCTGGAATTCATGAAGAACAAATCGACGTTTTTTGAGGACCAAATTCACATGATGATCCCATCGGATATATGTATCTAAAATAATTCCAAGGTATTTGATGGTATTTACAGAAGATATTTGTAGGTTACTTGGCAAAGTGAGCAGTTGAAAACTTGGTATTAGTTAAAACGGAGGACATGTACACAAGACTTAATCAGTCAACATATGAACTCAGATATCTCAAATGAGATATCTGCTACGAAGAATTCAGCCTCAGAGGGTGAAATAATTCGTCACCAATGCTGAAAACAAATTTTGTACTTCTGACTGCAATAATAAATAATGTTTCGTATGTGAACGTACCAAATGTGGGTGAAATTTATAGCAATATGCGTGAAGGCTAGTGATTGTGATTATGGCTGTGACAGAACACAATGGAAATCGATGTGATTGACATTAGTTAGTGAGGGTCATTTTGCGGTATTTGCAGGCGCAATTTCAAAGAATACACCATTCAAATATAAATTAACGTCGATATTTCAAGATCTTCGACAATCAGATAGGAAAACTGTTGAAGTTGTTCCTGAACACGCAGCAAGGCTAGAGAAAAAGAGTTACAAATGAAATTTGATGTTTATAGAATTCTCATCATAGTATTTACGTTTATTTTGATTAGAGCATGTATTTTGATTGGAATTTTACAATAATTATAAAACTTGCTGAAAAATTAATATTTTGGTTGAAACAGTAAATTGTTGAATTTTCAAATTTTTCGTTTAAGAATATATAAAACAGACATGCATAATTATCGCTATCACCTATTGATAAAGCCAGAAACGTAGGAGTTCAATATATAATGAACAATTTGGTTTTGACTTGAGGTAAGCTAGGCAGCATACTGTAGATTATCTCATAGACATGAATTATATCGCTCGTTCCTATGTGAACTGCTGTCCATGCTAAAGCAGAATCTCGCGATTCTGGGAAACTGATGTGCAAGCAATCTTATCTTCATGGGAAGAATACTTTTATAATTCAGTCTTAATTTTGCTCCCACACTGTTATCACCCATTTTTGTTAACAGAATTCAATTTTTAAAAAAGGACTTTG